TGCACTACAGAAGTACATACGGATATTTCGATATGTTAAATACTTTTTTTTATTTAACATTTCTTGACAAAATTTTTTGGCCGAAAATGACTTTTTTTCAAATGCTCGCAAATTTTTATAAAAATCTATATTTTAAAATATCCGTATGTACTTCTGTAGTGCATATTATATAGTTTTTAAAAAATTTTGGTTTATTGCTCCAGGTTCAATCGAATGACAGATCCCCGCAACGCCGATTTGACAGTGGCTACAAAAACGACGTTTAATAAAATGGCTTCAGCGTCATTTTATTAAAAAAATAAATGAAAAAAATATTTTTTACTTCTAAAGACATGTATTATTAAAGCCTTAAAACGAATTTTGTATTACTTTTATTGTTTTCCTAAAAAAAATTTCCAAAGTTACCTATGATTTTTAGGCGCTCAAGGTGGTGTAACCCCTTAAGGAACTTATGTCTTCCGACGCGTTATTAAGGAGCTATGCTTTTTTAAATAATATTTTCTTTTATTACAGAAGGTGCTAAAAGTGCCTTAACATTTATTATATTTGTGAATGATTATATTTATCTTACATCTGTGTAACATTGAATTTCTTACTTTCTTGTACAGTACAGGATTTCTGATTTGTGATCAAAGGCTCCTATAATTTTTTAAATCCTCTCTAATGTTGTAACGTACGTTATAATTTTGACATATCCTCACAAAAAAGTCGAGAAGCGTCAGATGCAGAGATCGTACTACTATCATAGGGCCGTCCATATATTACGTAAGCATGACTGGGGGAGAGGAGGGTGTCAGTCAAATTCTGACAAATAATTACATGAGAGAGGAGGGGGGGAGTCGTACGTATCCTTACGTAAGATTTTTCATGCTGCTGCTGTCATGAAAAACGAGCAATATTAATTTTACATAATTCGAGCATAATCGGGAAAATCTTACGTAATTAAGGAGGGGGTTTCAAAAATTCTGATATTTGTTTACATGAAGGGGATAAAAAATGGCCAAAAATATGTTTACGTAATATATGGACGGCCCCCATTGCGACCGGCTCTTTTTTATTCCAATTCAGCAGTTCCCAAAAATGTTGGTTAATAAAATTTAAAAAAAACAAAGCAGCTCGTAACGCATGCGAAGACATAAGATTCTAAAGTTGATTCTTTAATTATTAAGACTTATCATCCCCCGAAGTTTTTCTATGAAGTATATGAAACTGTATACGTATAAGAATGTTTCAGGATATACTTATATAACATTAAAAAAATTTTTGTAGGTATAATTTTGGTTGATATCGTTTATTTTTTGCCCTAGTTTCACAAAGAATGATTGTATGTCAATTCGACAAATTAGTTTTTCTATAATTTACAATTTAAACAGCGGTCAAATTATGCATTCTAGAATTAAACCCGATCAGAGGTCATACTATTTTATTAATTGTTAGTTCGTTTGAATTTGAATAAAATCGTAAATGGAATCTCGCAGTTTTTTTACCATATTTGCCATAAAGAAAAGAAATAACATTTTTATTATCCGATTTTTCTTATTTGTGTTGTTACAGCTGGTACTGCCGCGGAGAAGGGTTACTTCGGACCATGGAGACAATGTAAACTCCTTCTTTATGGACGTGAGTGGTGCGGCCAAAGCGTCTCCAGGTTTCAACCAGTGTGTGAGTTTCGTTTTACGTGTGACTATAAAAAGTTATGTTGATATTTTTAATACCACTTTTCGTAAAAATAATCTTTCTTCCACAAAATCTTTGTGATCTAATTCTGATTTTGATGTAATTGAATAATATTCCTGTAGGTATTATGTGAATTGCCATAAATGTTTTGCGAAGAAAATTAATAGTAAAAATAAATCTAATTAACGTTCGGTATGCTCAAATTGTACGAAAGTATTTTTATATATTATTAAATTATTTAAATAAAGCCATGAAATTAATTACGGTTTTCATAAAAATTTAATTAGAAATTAATTACAATATTGACGAATTAGCTTATAATTTTGATATTAAACAGTTTAAAAGGATTATTGTTGTACAAGTTGTACAACAGTTGTGCAAGAACTATTTACGTTTGATGTTCGTGATTAATACGACGATAATTTTATTAGTTTCTTAGCAATACTTATTAAAATTTTATTATGTGAATTGTTTAAGATTAATGAAAATCCTGAGATTTTAATTATTTTCTCGTTTTAATTTTTTTATCACTTTATTGCGAAAAACATAGCATGTAAAAAAGGTACAGAGATATAGGATTATGCAGTGCTAAAAATTCCTCCGGCAGGGAAGGATGCAAGTCAATGCAAGTGCGAGATTACATTGCAATGCAATAGAATTACGGCGAGATTCCTCCTTTATTTCTAGTGGCTGTGTGGGTAGCGGGATTAGCTGCCGCTGCCGCCTCTGCTCTTTTAGCGATTCTGGTAGCTTTGGCTGTACTTCAATTAGCGATGGCCTCTTCCGCGAAGCGGGTTGTAATTTCGTATAGCACTGCTCTAATAGGCAAAGTTGCCCTCGCTACATTGGCAAGTGAGTACAAATCAGTTTTCTAATATAGTAATTTAAATGAAAAAAAAAAATAGATAGAGAGAGGACAGATTTCAAAAAATGTTTTAATTTCTTATTAACTAATTAAATAATGTAAAATAATGTTTATTTTCTAAACAAATAAAATTAAGTAAATATATTTGAAATAAACTTTTGAAATATTAGTATACAAGAAACTTTATTTTATTAACTTGTGAAAAATATTTTATATTTAAGAAACTATTTATTTATGAGTTACTTAAGAAAACTTTGTAGCCTTTCCAAGGAAAAAAACTTCAACGTATCTTTTACATATATATATATATTGTTGTATAAATATATTAAATTTTCTTTTAGGCTATAATATTTTAATATATGTAAAAGATACGTTGAAGTTTTTTTCCTTGGAAAGGCTACAAAGTTTTCTTAAGTAACTCATAAATAAATAGTTTCTTAAATACTTTTCATGTTATATTTATATTTATGTTATATTTATATGATTGATATATATATATATATATATATATATCAATCATATAAATATAATGTTTTTAATTTAGTAATTGAAGTGTGAATAGTGGAAAAAGTACATAGCAATACATATAATTTTATATCAAATTTAAAGTATGTAAATTCCAATTTCAAATACGAATATATAAATGTATGTTTGTATCTGGTACTGATAATGAGATTACATCTTGTTGCGTGTTTATAGTATTCATTGCGTAATGTAGTTAGTCATCGTAACCTTGACATATGAAAGTACACGCAGAATTTGAATTACATTTCAAGACGTTGAAAGTTCTTTTTATTACGGTGCGTAGCACGTAATTTGCAATACTACGGGCGGCATGTTAGAATTACCGCTTGTTCGCGCTCGTCTACTTACTGGCCTATTTACGAGCCCTTATACAAAGGCATCGAATATCTACGGAAGATTGTGTTACAGAGTGAAGCAATATGATGACAGTACCGCGTAATCTTTTTCATTGCGTTGACTTCGCAATGATTTTGCGTGCTTTGCAAGTTAAGGAAATATTGGATATTTATTATACGCCAATGATTCTTTTGTTCACATAGTTCAAACTTTTATATATTTTTAATATCAAACAATAACCAATTGTATTATAATATTTTATTGAAATATGAAATTGTATGAAGTTTAATATACATTTTCATTGACTGAATAAGATTGGGGATTGAATTTTTATTAATCGATTGATTTGATATCTTTTTTTAGCGGCATTGTCGATTGTGGCGGCGATTCTTTTTGCTCTGCAAACGGATGATCGAGCCAATAGCTTCGTTATCACAAGAGGAGAAGCTTTTTATATGCAGGTAGAGTATAATGGCATGACAAAATCTGTATTATTAATTTTTCTGCAATTTCTTGTATTCTTTCGAATTGCTGAACAGAGAACATTTCTTCTAAATTTTCTCTTTCTTAAAATCAAGAGAATAAGAAATTATATATAAATATTTATTTATTAAATTCAATATTGTAGTAACATGTACGTTATACTATTATTATAGGAAATAATAATAGATTAATAAAAGGATAATTGAATAAGAAATGATCTATTAATGATAAGGTTACAATATGTAGACAACCAATTTTATATTAGATTTTATTACAAGTTTTGGGAAAATAATGTCAACTGTACAATAAAGAATTACTTTTTATTTCTCCAACGGAACTTTTTTGCTCCGTTAATTTTTGTCTTTGTAAATAGTGAAAATCTGCAGAAATTTTGAGTAAAATAATAACTTTGGTGGCATATTCTTTTGTGTATTCGCATTAGCATCATGAATCACATTAGCGTAAGACAGTTTCGTTGCTAATTTACTAAATTTGCATTACGTATTTTAAATATGGATGGTGTGATAATTTTACTCAATTTTTTTAACATTCACCTGCTAATGTTCTCAGTGTGTGCGCGCGCGCGTATATGTGTCTCTTAATTGATTTCTCGTTCCCTCGAATTAACGCAAAGCTGTTAACGGACGAGATAATATTCAATGCATCCATATGTCCATTTTCGAGTTTCTAATCTCTTGTACTTGATGTACCGTTAAAACACGTTGTTTGCCGACGTCATTCACTGGTTTCTCGAACCTGTTGCACGCAGAAGCAGTTGCATATTCTGCACTTGTACAGTTTGATTCACATCCGCATTTCATGCACGCGTTCGATACGCTGGTAATCCATACGTTCAAAACGTTTAAACCGTTTGTAAAAAAAATTAATATATCATGCACAATTATAATATAAAAGTATAAAAAGTTTTCTTTTTAGATGAAAATTGATATCAAATAAATTAATTTTTATGTCTTATTAATAGCACAAATAGTTTAGAAAGGATTTATTAATATTATTTTGTGGTCGCTATCAAAAAATAATACTGAAAATGAACGTTATAATTATTTATACTTAAATTTAAAAAATATTCACTAATACTTTAAATTGTAGATATAAAAATAAATATAAAAGTATTTTTATGTATGTATATTTTAAGAGATATATTATATTATAAGGATATTATGTATCTTAAAAGAGCATCACGTACCTAATTATAATTAATTGTCGATTTATTAAACGATCTGAAATCGATAGGAAGCATGTGGCTTAATATCCTGTCTACAGTTAGGTATGATGCGTATAGGAACGTGTCGTGCATGTTCAATAGACAAGAATGATTTATGTGACAATTTCTTAAGGAAGGCGATTTGTTCGGGAACAGATATCATAATTCTAAATGCGATAAAGATAAGACTTTGTCTAAGACTTTGAAGGAGTAGTATTTTATCAAAATCTCGGATAAGCGTACGAAGATATTTTAATAAAAATCAGGAAAAGACATTAAGATTATTAACTGAGCAAAAGTAAAGCCCGTCAAAAGAGAATAATTGTTATCTCGAGACGTCACTAAAAACTACGAGTTACAAAACTAAAAAATTTTTATATATAGATGGAATATAATTATATTGCGGTACAATGCATCTCTTGTGTATAATAGAATATTAATCAATATATTGTAAAAGGATGTTTTTTTTTTTTTATACGGGTTTTATATCAATAAGAAAAAAAAGGATAAGACAGACGATCAAACTTTTTGATCAACCTATAGTATTACTAAAAATGTTATTATTAAAATACGATTAAAATGCAGACTCCCTTACAAAAATTTAATATTGGAAGGTAACGTTAATTACTTATTTTGAATATTAAATTGGATTTGTGTAAGAGCTGTTAATTAATATAGAAATATATTTGTTATGTTTGAAATATAGAAATATATTTGTTATGTGCATATTTAGGGTTTATAAATCTTTATTAATAAGATTAATCAAGAAATAAATTGTGTTTTTCAATTAATTGGAATAGTAATTTAAATTGGATATCGACCACAGAAAGCGATGCAGACGCGATGGCGCGACGACGAGGACGGTTACATGAGAAAGAACGTCACATTTTATGAAACTGAAACGATAACGTCGCCAACGCACTTTGAAAGTTTGTTCTTATCGCAAGACGGCAGCTCGAGTTTCTCCGAATGCGGATGAAACACTCGTGGTCTTTGCAATCCAGTATTATATACTTGCAGTACGGTAAAGCTTCAGATTCCGTCAAGAAAATATTCAACTCGTTATTTGCGATTCTTTGCGGAACGATTGTCTTCTAAGTAAACGAGAAAGGATATAAGTTTAAAAATTCTAAATAAGTCAAGATGTACTTTCAAAGTAAATGGATTTTTATCTCTTTTTATCTTTCTCAATAAGTTCAATTAAAATGCATGTAAGATAATATAATCTTGATGTTAAATAATTTTTTAATTATAATAGTTGATCGTGCAATAAGAAATACGTTTGTAATCATTGAAGATATTAAGATGTTATCTAATATAATTATATAAAACAAATCTATGCTTGTGTATGACATCGTGAGAATATTTTGAACAGGGATTACATATAATATAATATATCTAAAAAATATTCTCTAAATATCATCATATTTTGCGGGATATATCTTAGGAATATTATAATCTCCCAGCAAGATAATTTTGTTGAGACTTTGCAGATTTTATTTTGCCAGGAATTCAGTTTAATTACAATATACTATGAATATGTTAAGATAGATTATTTTGAACTTTCGTCTGCTGTGCTTGAAAATGCAGAATTTATATAAAAAGGATCAAAAGAAAAATAAATAATACATGCATTTAGATCAAGTAGTACCGCTATACTTCCGCCGGGGCGTTTATCGTCAATCGGCCGAGAAATGTATATCTAACCGGAGAATTAAACTTAAGCTTATGTTAGAAGCCACCTGATCGTGAACCGGACTCAGGTGTTTCTTTAAGCTCCTGTCTCCCCACCGATCCGTGACTTAGTATGTGCCGGAGCAGCCGCGACTTGTAGATACTTTTAAAACAATGAGCCGACATTGGCGGACCCGCAGTGAGTGTTTCGGTGTGGATCGCTAATGAACTCACCGTGTTGTCCCGGTTCTCAGTTTTGCGATAAGTGAATTTCTTTTGTTCCCCAGGCTGGCCATGTTCAGCCTTTTATCGTCGTGACGTACAAGACTCGATCGCGAGCAGTGTTTTTTGCCATTTGAAGCTATTAGTCATATTCCTTTCACGGTAGTTTAAAAAAAAATGTAAAAAAATGAACGAAACATCATATCTGATTGATACAGTGTTGTGTTGTACACTCATATATATACATCGTACATTTGGCTCACTGGATAAATTTCCCTTCAACATAAAGATTGTTTTATCGTTATGTGGAGTATGCTGATATTTTACTGGCAAAAATATACGCGATGATGGACAAAAGGAAACGGAGTCTCTTGAAAGGGGCCAAGGACGAAATTGAATTGGACAGAATGAATAAGCAAAAACAAGGCAAGGTAATATCGCGTTACTCAAGGAAATTCAATCGAGTTAATGTTTTCGCTTTTACTTTTCCAGTGTATGATGTTGATGATATCACGCGATGTAACAATATTTTATGCATAAATATGTACAAAAATAATAAAGCTTTTTTGTCATACTTTTCGTTTTATCTAAATTAGCGACTTGGTGATTATATCGCGGAAAAATCAATTCTAGATGAAGGAATTCATGATTGGGAAATAAGACGTAACAGTCATAAGTTAGCTTCTTTAAAATTAATTAAGTTACGTCGAAATAATTTTCAGAAAGTGCTGCGCAAAAAGATCACTGAAGTGAGCAATTTAAGTGCTGCATGTAACAGCTGCTACATCTGGCAGAGTTTTTTGTCGCGACGCAACAAAATCATTCTGTTTATGCAATTAGTGTTTCGCATGTTGCTGGTTGAATAACGTGTGAAATGAAAACGCTGTAAAAGTCATTCATTGTGAAATCGTGCGATAGTCGTGCGTATATAAACGACGCGGTGTACACCGGCGTAGATGTCCGCGCGAATTGGAGTTTCCGTTGTCCAAACAGTTTCTCCTGTTCGGCCAAGTTTTTGAAATTTTTGTCATTTTGCGACTCGCTTTTTCTCGATATATTTGGTGTACTACTCGTACATCGCTCAACAAACACGGATTATAACTACAATATATTGCAGTAACATTGTAATATTTCTGCAATATAGCTGGATTGTTACAATGTTGCTGCAACACTGCAGTTATAATCTGTGTTTGCTAAGTCGGGGCGAAAGAAACCCGTCCAACGCGACTGGGAAAATAACCATCGCCTTGATAATCGAAAGGTGGTGATGAGAAGAACATCGGCGATGAGCATAGCGGTTGCCTGCGCCTTCTTTTATCAGGCGTCTCTCGCGTGTAGGGGAGAGAAGCTCGCTCGCGATCCTCCCCAAGGAGGACAAAAAGAAAAAAAAGGCAAACATCGGACGACCAGATTAATTATAGCGACGGAACGACAATGGCGCGCGCGGCTTCTTTGTTGGCCCTAATTAAATTGCCTCCCCTTCCTCGCGCGCACTCCTTCCACTATCCACCACCTACGGATTATGCTTCTTCTCCTGATGTCGATAGTTTACGTGCGATGAGGGTCTCCTAGTTATTCGCTTGCCGTATAAGAAAGAACGACGTTTGAGAGAGAGAGAGAGAGAGAGAGAGAGAGAAAGAGAGAGAGATTTGTTCGTGCTTGACGATGAGAAATGGGGTGCGTAGTGTACAATCGTTTTCCTCCGAGATAACAGAGACTACGGTATTGCGGCATGTATATGTATAGCGAGATCTCGATGTGAATCCAATGGAAGTAACACAGGAGATGCGCCAAATTAGAACGGATTAGAGAAGCGGCTGGTACGTGTGTCAAGTAATTGGTGTCTGCAAGCCAATTAGTGCAAAGGAAAATAAATGCGCGATCCTCGGAGAAACAATCGATTGTTTGGCCGTGTACGTAAAGTTCACATCCCGAGCACGTTTGTGGCTTTATTTATATCTCATTTCTGGGCAGATGCATTCTTTAATTTCAGACCGCACAAATAAGTTTTTTGTCGCAAAATAAACAATGTGTAGATGTAATAGACTTTTTAGTTAATTAATTTTTTGCTATTGTCAGTTGCATATAAAGTTTACCATAATAATGCGAGTGGTAAAAGCAAAACTCATATTTTCGAATTTTTTAAAAATGTATCAAAGCGTACGTATAATAAAATACATTTAGAATTATGAAATAAAAAAATCGGAAAAATCATTTTTTTTTATTAAAATTAAATGGGATTTTTTTAAATTTTACAATAAATTTTAAAAACAATATGAGTTTTACTTATATGTTATATTTATAAACATTTTAAAAATAATATGAGTTTTGCTTATATATTATTTTATATTATTAATCTTATATATTTGTCTAATTAGTGTAATGTTAAATATATGAGTGCAAACAAAACAGATTACATATGCAAGTGTTAGTATATTTAAAAATTCGTTTATTTTTGGTAAGCATATTACACTTTAAAGTCATTTTCTAATATGAATACGTTGATGGATTACAAGTCTTATAAAATGTATGTTGATTTTTACTTTTTAGTAGTTTTTAATACAATAAATGTTTTTTTTATATATCATTTCCACGCAGATCTCGATTTATTACAAGAATACATAGGATATTTCTGAATTATTGCTTGCAAATAATTACCATTTTTTTCGTATTCTACTACTTGACGAGAAATGTGTGAAATGGGGCTGAAGAAGTTATGAGATATGCTAAGAGATGATACGATATTTTTTATGTATGTGGCTTCGCACACTGTTGGATTTTGATCAGGACACTTTTAGCAGATCATTTTTATTTATTATTGCAGTTGGTTGCCATCGCCTTGAACTTTGGCGTACTGGTCTCCGCCGTTTACGAGGGCATTTACGCCCGAAGAGGTGGCGACCCGACCAAGATTAGGGTCGTCACGGATCCCCGTGGAGCCACTATAAATAATCCAGGATATCGAGAATATCACCAACCCACGAACGGTAAGCTCGAACTGGACAGCAGTCCAATTTTCCAAAATACGCTTGACCGAATTTTCCCCATTTCGTTCAGGCCTCATTTTATATTAGAGCTAAGCATAATAAAATAATGATTTGTGTCAAGTTATATTATGTATAGAAAATATGTAAAAAGATTTACTGTATATTTAAATCCAAACAGTACGTAGTTTCAGTTTTTAACGTAATTTTTGTAAATCGTCTTCCACATTTTTACAATAATAATATCTTTTTTTGTATTATGTCATTCTATTATGAATGTGATGTTTTTCTTCGTTAAGACTCACATTCTTTCTTTTTGAAATATTCAATCTTGATTTCGCTATGAAGTTACGATAATTTAAATCATTGTATGATGGGATTGGAAGGAATTTAGATTTAGTCGGCTGACATAAAATCGCAATATCCTTGGAAAAGAAGGACACTTTGACATGAAAGCAAAAAAGCGATAAAGTTTAGAAGCCGCTTATCTGTAGATCGTGACAAGAAAACGACATGAGGGAGAAGAAAAAGAGAGTGTAGAAAAGACAACGTACTATAGTAATCCAGGCGACTCTCGCTCTTGAATCTTGCATGCAAATATGTACACAGGATGAGGTAAATTGTGATGATGTATTTTGGCGTATTTGCTCGCCGCTGCATAGCGAGGTGGCATTGCTGTGGTACGCCGAATAAGCCCGCGTCGCAATGTAGCTACGCTTATGCTCTATACGCTCTCCGCGAATTGCTCTCCGCCGCGCCGCATTGCTGCGCGTAAAGGTCTCTCTCCCAATACATCAAATCCATCTACCGTAACTTATGGACTAAGCCTCATCATATATTAGATCATAAAACGAGAAGTGGCTTCTTTCATCGTCCTGGCACGCGTAACGTTTATCAATGTTGCAGTATACACTGCGTATATACAAAGTTGCGCGTGTCGGGTATACCTCCAAATATTTTAAGTTATATGTATATCGGTAAAATTTTAAAGAAAATATATATAACGTACATTTGCATATGTAATACTACATTGTATTTTGATAAAATTGATTTGAAATAATGTATGTATAGCATATTATTGCCACCAAACATATGTGATACGTAAACGAAATATTGTCTGTGATGTATTGCTCTTTTGCTGGCATATATCATAAACTCAAATTTTTATACATTTTTAATATATCATAATATATCATAAACTCAAATTTTTATACATATTATATTGATAATATTTCATGTATGTAAGATTCTTGCTGTATAGAGTAAGGACACTATTTGTGGATCACTCTAAAGACAAATGTTCATATTTTTATCCAGAAAAATATTAAACAATAACATACTTAATAATTGTAATTAATCATAAAAAATATTTTATGGGTGATTTTATTTAATTTTAATACTATCTTTATTTTTTATTATTATTTGTATAAATTTAATTGAATAAAATGGAAATTATTTACAATTAAACTCCTAGGTCTAGTTGCGTATTAGACTACTCGTGAAACATATTTAATTTAACTATATAACTAATCGAGTATTATGATGTTTTCTATAAAATCTAATGCTATTTACTATCTCGTGTGAAAACTATAAGGCAATCCTATATATAATAAATATTAAATTTTAATAGAATTTTTAAAGATATACCTAAATTGACGTCTTACGTTCTATTACTGTGAACATTGCACATTATAAAATGTGCAATGTTGTTGCTAGTAAAGAATAATTAACGACTGACAAATGTCATAGAATCTTGTGATTTGCGCCATTCAATGAAAAATACAATTATTTAAACAGAATAAATTATCCAAAACTATTAGGAGTGTGATTTACAATTAGTTTTTTTTCTCAAAAACTGATTTATTGTACGAATATCTTAATGACCTTAATCAAAATATTTTCCTTTGTTTTCTATAACTTTTTTTGGCAAGAAATGGATTCCGCAACAATAAAAAGAACTCTTCTTCGGATTTGATCCAATTTTTTCAAATTTTCTTACTTCTTCGAAATTATGAAATTGCGTATCCTCTAGAGCATGTTGCATCGATCTAAACAAGTAATAATCAGATGGAACAATGTCTGAAGAATACGCGGGGAAGTTAAGACTTCTTATTTCAGCTCTAATAACGTTTGCTTCAATGACATGCAACATGAGGTCGAAAATGCTGTTTAGGAAGCCCCATTTTTAAGATGGTATAAACACGATGTTTATTGCGTCTATTGTTAGTAAATGACTAAATATCATGAAGTAATATTAAAGCATTAAGAAACAATAGCTATGAATGTCTTCGACAATATTGACATTAGTGCCGTTATCTTGCAAAACCCTCAAAACTAAATGACACTCCTATAATATAAGTGCCCTTATCTTATATGTAATAGTTCAATTATATTAATAACTAGGGCTGTTACTTTTTATTCACTTTGAATATTCAAAGCTTTGACGTTAACTTCGACCTTTTGAAGTTTAAGATGCCTCGAAGCTTCGAAGTTTCGAAGTTTTGAAAAATACATTAAAAATTTAAATTTTCTTAATTGGATTGTGTTATTGATTATTATGTTTCCTTATATTTATACATGTATCAAATTTAATTATTAATTTGTAATATTTTAGGTTATAATACTTTCAAATTTGTTTAAGAATAATTTCATATATGTATTAATTCTTTTTATTTACAATATTTGTAAATTTTCTGAATAAATTTATCATTTGCGCAAATGTATTTTTCGAAATTTCGAAGCTTCGAAGGCATCTTAAATTCCAAAGCTTCAAAAAAATTCGAAAATTTTCATGCCGAAGCTTCGAATCTTCGAAGTTTGAATGTTGAAGTCTTCGAAGCAAATCACCAGTCCTATTAATAACATTTTTATAATATAATTATATTATCTTATAAATTATATCTTAAAACAATAATATTTTTTATAATACAATTATATAAAAGAAATAAAAGTTTCTTAACTTAAACGGCATGAAGAGAATGGAAAATATGGAACGAGAGAAGTAATCACGTCGTTAATTTTGTTGCGCCGCAGGTGGTTCGATCTCGATGACAGACGCCAGCGGCAAGCCGTACGTCGGCGGGGCCGGAAACGGATCGACGGCATCGGTAGCGACTTCCGGTAGCGTGGCCAGCACGGCCTCGCCCCTTAGGAGTTCCCTGAAGAAGCCGAAACCCCTCGGCATTCACAATCCTGGCTTCTCGGCGCACAGTCCGACCCTCTCGAGGAACGGCTCGCAGAAGAAAGTGCGTATACAGACGCATTCTACGGAAGTTTAGCCGACGCTTTTCTTAAGCGTTGAGAGAGTTCGCGCTACGTGATTGCGGCACCGTCGTCGTTTAAGGCGGGACAGGAAATCGAATGCGGCGATGACGAGACATCTACTCGAAGTAGTTCCACGTGTGCATGTTCCATTAACGGTAGGTGGTCTCCAATATTATACTAACGATTGATCCGGGCGAAGGCGCGATCAAGAGGCGCGAAAAGGCGTCTTTGTTTTGTGCCGAACGAGACCCGTGATCGCGAACGATCTTTGCCGTTCTACTCTAGCCGATGATACGAAAGTTCCCGCCATCAACGACGTGATTTCGATAATGGGACTTTTAATGAGTTCCAAAGGCGTGAACCACAAGAACCACGTTCGCGAGTTTGGCATATATCGTTACGACAAAAGAATGTAAATAAGCTTACGTTACGATCGATAATCGTCGGAACTCTTCGAAGCTACCTGAGTTAAATATCAAACAAATTCAGATCAAACGCGCGATTAAGAGCGACTACTTGTTGTTGAATATATTAGGTTTTTCCAATTTTTCTACAATATCTTTACATGATATGCATTCGTAAGTGGTTTAATAGAATGCAAATGAACTATAAAAGGTATTGGCGAGAGAGAGAGAGAGAGAGAATAGGATGAATTAAAATAGAGAAACATATCATACATATGTTGAAGAAAAAAAAAGCTGCAATTGTTATAACTATGATAAATCATTATAATGTGGCGCAAAATATAAAATATTAAGAATTACGTAACATAAAATGTAACGTGTGTTTGTTGTGTGTGTGTGTGTGTGTGTGTGTTTGGGTGTGTGAGTAGGTGTAAGTGATAAAAATTCTGACCTAATATCATGCGTGTATTTTTATAAATCTTATGTCGAAGTGTCGAACAATAAAATTCGCACATATTAAACAGGATATGATAACAATTGCACAATTCTCATGAATATTTAAGATAAATTAGTGCAATCGATATTAATTCGAACGTCGATATATGGCTGAAATTATTTGTGTCGTTACAAATCGTGTTATACGTGTAAATTTACGGTATCTAAATAAAAATCGGCTCCAACGTATTCAACAAATTTTTTAACTATATATACATAAATATATTACGATAAATAAAATATAAATTCTTAATAAAATATGGAAAGAGGCAAAAATATGTTATGCTAGCAGAAATTACTTTAATTCGTTGTTGATTTGTGAAGTGAAGACTGCATTCTATCTTAATACTCTATATCATCTCATCTTACTCGCTTGCCTTATTAAGCATATTCACCAAAAGATAGAACTGATAACGAATAAAATGTCGTTGATAACAACAATCTCTAAGAGATCAATCTCTAAATTATTACTTTCACTATAAAAGTTTATGCGGAAACTAATGATATTCATCATGTATTGTAAAATATAATCACAAATCTGATTTCTATTCTACTTTAACTCTTTCTTATATATTTGTATTATTTGAAAGATTTGTTAATTACGTATCGGAAGAGTCTGTAAATGGAATTAAATTTTCAATTTGTTTTATTATTATGAAAATACAAATTATTCTGATAATATTCTGCTTTTAATATGAAATATGATTATTTGAATTGCTGGAGAATTATTTGATTACGTAACAATATTCAAGCTGCAATAAATAATCTTTGCTATTATCATTTAACTAATTTTAAGTACGATTTTTATCAAAGTATCAGAATATCAAAGTTCAATTGGACATTAAGATGCATAAATTAACGTTGGACATTTCATAGTATATTCAACGTTGTTCTATTTGTTGCACATACACACACATAAATAATTGTTACAATAACTTTTTAATGTGATAATATATTTTTAACTGAAATTTGAGTATTAATAACGATAATTTTCTAAAATATTTTCCTACTTTTGAATGATGAAAGGGTAGAGTAAAAAGAATTGTTTAAAAATATGTATAAATTTTTACATCCAACTATAAGAGAGACATACACGGCAATGAATTACCGTTACCGAATTTAATAATTGACTCGTCAAAGACTTTTTGATCTAATACGTAAATATTAATAATATAATTACATATTATTGTTAGTATTATTAATAGTTTTCCGTCCAACCAAGTACTTTATAATATTTAGTATTAATCATTTTTTAATGTTGCTGAATGTTTTATTAAAGTATTATTCATGATGTATTACATAGAAATTGTTATGTATTTTGAAAATTATATTATTTGATTTTATTTATTATTGAATTTTTGTAAATTGTATGATAAACTTTAGTTTAACAAAAAATAATTTCGATGGAAGAGTTGATTTCTAATTATGGGTTGGTTGGTACCAATGCCGGTTAACGCTAATTATAATATAAGATTTTACAGCACTTTATGTGTTACAAATTGAATTTTAAAATAGATAATTATTTAACAGCTAATTTAGGTGATTAATTATAAATTAAATTAATACTGCGAAAATCAAGTTTTATTTTTATATTCTAAAAAATATAATTTTTATTTTAGATAAATTATCAATCGTTGATTATTACTCTTCGGCATAACGGATTGCCATGATCGAAAGTGCAAGATGCATGATATGTTTTTCTTTTTATTTCTCCTTTCCATATTTTCAAGTTTTCTTTTATATTATTAGTTTTAATTATAATCTTACATTTCCTCATCGCGAGAGGAAAATAAAATCATATTACAGCATTGCATCCGTCCAGCCCTACGTAGGCAGCTAGCTGTGAAACGGCAAGAGAAAAAGAGAAAGATATATATATAAATATATATTTATATTTTATATAGTAGTTGTTTTAATATATTATATATATTACATGCATACATATCTATATATGCATATATATGTGTGTGCGTGTGCGTGTGCGTGCGTGCGTGCGTGCGTGCGTGCGTGCGTGCGTGCGTGCGTGCGTGCGTGCGTGCGTGCGTGCGA